TTGGGAACCTGCTCCTGCTCCCGGGGCCTTCCCTGGGCAGCAGCACCCCAGCCTCCCCTGGGCACCCTTCCCTGGGCAGCCCCATCCACCCTTCCCTGGGGAGCGGCGCCCACCCTTACCTGGGCAGCCCCATCCACCACCAGCTCGAAGGATGCTCCCCCTGCGCCAAATCGCAGGATATCCCCCGGGCTCACTCTGACGGCCGCGTTTTGGACTTGGCAACCATTGACGAAGGTGCCGTGGAGAGAGTTGAAGTCCTGAAGGACGAAGCTGTTGTCCGAGGCGGTGAATTCGAGGGCCGCGTGATGCTCCGCTACACCTGCGGACTGGCAGCGGGCAATCAACAGGCAAGCAGGGAAACCCGCCAGAGAGCAGCCCAAGTTTCGTTTCTGGTGTGCCAAGCCCCCCTTCTCCTTGCCGTACATCTCTGCGTAAGCCAGCTGCTAGCCCCTACGCTTGCACGGAGGACTCCCTGGCATCCTACTCCCTACACCCAAACCACCATCCCTTTTACGACGGTCAGCTTCCTCGCCCCTACCTGCAGGACAATGTCGGACCCTTCGTGCCTGCCTATTGTCGTGGTGTGCGGCTTCAGCTGAAAACGTCCCTCCGAACTCTTTAGAAAGGCTCGCATCGTCCGGCCCCTTCGCCTGCAAGGCTTCCATTAAAACACAAAAGCTACTCCCTTAGCAATCCCCCAGCCGACACCCGTGGCTGAGCCAGGAACGTCTCGACCAACTCGTGCACTAGAAATTGTACTAAATCAACCCAAAGGCGGCTCTGCCCCGGCCGGCAGTGCGGCCACAGCCTCGCGGTAGCCTTGGAAACCCTGGCCGCGCCGGAGCCCGCTGCCACCCTCCCGGGTGCCTTTTGCTCTTTGTTTTCTTTTTTTTTTTTCCCCTTCTCCTTTTCCCAAGCAACTGCCCCGGCAGCACAACACAGCTCGGCGCCGGCCGCTGCCCTCCTTGCCAGCCCGTGACACGCACGAGAACATTTCCCCGCGTATCAAAAAGCTCACAGGGGGCAGTGCGAGCTGCTGGTAAACGTTTTTTTTTCCCCATATCTTACTTATTTTTTATTTAATACCGTGCACGCGCGCACAAACAGGTCTTGCAACCTCAGGCGAGCGGATAAACGGTGGCGCCTGGTGATGGGGACGCTGTCACCCCTCGGCACGCTTCTCCGTCAACGTGGCTTCGTCCCAGGCTGCTGCATGCCCTTTGTCCGCAGAAAAAGGGAAAATAACGCCCCCGCCACCGACACCCCCCCGCGCAAGCCTCCGCTTTGGCCTCGCCGACGCCACTTGAGCCTCTTTCCCCCCATCCAAGCACCCGACCCGCTGCCATCCAAACCCGTCTCCCCTTCGCCGCCGGCAAACAGCACCCCAAACCACAGCCCCTAATTAGCACGGGCTCCCCCCGTCGCACTCCGCTAGTTCCCATGCCTTTCCCACGCTGCTTTCCGAATTCTGTTAGCGCGTCTTTCAAGCGCGACTGCGGCGCAGTTTGGCAGCGGGGGGGTTGGCGAGCTGGGTGCCGCTCGAGCACCCGTGTCCCCTCCCTGCGTTTTGGGAAGGAGGGAAAAGCGTGGCAGCCCTACGTAGCCCAAACCACAGCATTTTCCTCAAGCCCAGTGTTGTGCCGTACACCACACCAGTATATTGCGTTTGAAAAGCAGCCCAGGCTTGCTGAAAATGAGCATAAACCTTGCATTTTTGTTCACGGCAAACCCCAGGATCGCTTTTTGGCCCAGTCCCGCTCCTACGGGTGAGAAATTCCCGTGTCATCCGGCCGAACACTTAGGAAGCGGAGCACGAATTCACCCTTCGGCCAAACTCGCTGGCACGCAGACAGCAAGAGCGGGCATCGTGCTGCGAGAGCGGCTATTGCCCCGCCGGGCTACCACTCAACAGCAAATCAGTTCAAACGTGTGCCCGCAAAACTACAGCGCTTTCCCCCAAAAATAAATTGCTCATCTACAAACAAACTGCAAACAAAGGTTACCTGCAATTCCCCGGGCTGCTCCGATGCTTGGCAGGACCTGAACGCCCGCCCCAGATAAAGGGGCCGCTCTGCTGACCGGGGGCACGGCCAGCTGCGCCATGGCCGTTCCACACCCCCGGCACCTGCAAACAAAAAAAACTCCTAGAGGAAAACAGCTAGCAAGTCCTGCAAGATTTTATCTTGCTTATTTTAGAGACAGAATCAGCAGATTTGCAAAGGAGCGCTGCTCTGGGAACCCGAGAGCAGTACTGCGGCATGTAGGCAGTGGGTGGCCCCCACCGCCAGCGTTTCCGTCCCTTCCCTTCCTTGCAAGGGCTTTGCGCTAAACACAGCGGCCGAGGTTTTCCAGCCCCAATCCGGCGCTGCGGCGATGCTTCTTACAACTAACCACCACCAGGCTTCCTCGGCCGCGTTAATAACAGGCCTGCACATCTTGTGAGTTGCCATTGAGCGTGGGTCACCTTCCGGAGATGCCGGGATATACGTGCACTCTTAAAAACCGAATGGGGAAACACATCCCGACTTCTCACCTACCGGCATCTCTTACCTGGGAAAACCATCTCCGTCACGCCCACCTTCGGGATGACCTGTTCTCTTACAATGTATTACAGTGCCGCCTCAATGTCACCCAGGGACGAGCCATCCTAGGGCAGCGATGGTCACAGCTTTGGGAGCTCTCGCACTCCTCCACGTCCCACATCGCCCTCTGCTTTCCACGTACCATCAGAGGGCAAGTTTGCAAGTAGCCGGAGATGCTCATTAGCCCTGCGGGCATTTTTTGCCTAATTATACTACATTAGTCACAGCCCGTTTCGCTGCAGTCACTGCACTTTGTGTCATTTGTCCAGCTCTTTTCCCACATGAGATGTTGGGAAAGCTGCTGCTTTCACCAGTCTGGTTCATTAACTGGGACTTTCTGGTAAAGAAGCTCCACGCAACGTCAACTCCCAACTGCTCGGACCAGAGGCTTCGCTTTATTACCATGATATTTACCCAGATTTTCTAAGGCAACTGTTAGGGTTGTGTTTCTCCCCCCGGGAGAGAGGACGTCAGGCCTTGCCTCCCGCTGCGGCCGGGCTCTTGGGGGCACACGCGCCTGGGAGGCAGCTTCCAAGGGGCTGCACCACCTTTCCAACCCCTCGCCAAGAGCCACATGGGATCACCCCCCACCCCAAGTCCCTCAGGCTGCGGTCCAGTCTTCTACTTTTTTCCCCCTCCTTCTCTTCACTAAGGGAGTCCCTTCTTTATTAATGCTATTTTACCCACCTGAGATCATGCCTTGGGGCACAGCAAAGTGAAATTCCTGTGGCACAACAACAGAAATTAGGAGATGCAATATGAAATCATAACTAACGAGACAAACTGTTACGTGGATTTGCACCAGCATCTCTTCTTTGCCTTCGTTTTGGTCACTTGCACTCCTCTCGTACGTACCTTATACATCAGCCACGTTGCCAAGTCAACCTCGGGTGAACGGTCCTTACCTACATCGAAATCGGCATCGTCCCAAGAAAGCCGCAGCCGTATCGGCAGCCCAGAGGCAGAGGGCAGATGGGCCATGCTGACGCCAGCTACGAATTCGTGCCAGATGCTGCTCTCTGCCCACGCCATCACAATTCAGACCGTTCGAGGGAGCCCGTGGCTGACCGTGCTGACGGACTCCTGTCGATGGCTTTGCTGGAAGCCCGGGAGCGGCATCCACCCTAAAACGGCCGACTGCTTTGATACCGCTCTGGCTTGCAAACCTTCGGGAGGGCCAACCGCGCACGAGCGCACACACACACAAGCGCAATGTACAAAATATTTATTTCAAACAGGTCTGCTCGCACAGCACGCTCAGCAGTCGGTTCACCCTGCACACCTGCCGGCAGCGGTGCGCTCGCACAGCTCCCAACCCCCACTTGCCTCCAGCAGACCGTCCCTTCGCATCCGAGCACAAAATGCAGCACCGAAAGCTAGCGAGGCGACAAATCCATCCTCTCCCTGAGGAGCACAGGGCCCCTTTCATCCCACTTCCCACCAGCCAGCACAGCCCTTGGCAGGAGCTGGGTTCTGGGCCACCCTGGGCCACCCCCCCAAGCCCAGAAGGGAGCGGGGGACAGCTGCAGGGCTACTCTGGCACCGCGGTTTCCCTTACTCAGAAGCAAAAGGACACCCTAAAAAAGGAACGTCTCCCTTTTCCACTTGCAAATTCCTTGCTCGCTCTCAGTTTGGTGGCTTGGAACAGTCTTGCCGGGGGCACGGGGGAGAGGAGGCAAGAAGATACGTTGGGTGGTCCTTGCGTAAAACACCACAGACTGCACTTGCGGCGCTTCCAGCCTTCATTGACTTCCGAGCAGCAGACCTATCGGCGTTCGGGTGTCTTTCCCCACGGTCTTTTGTCAACCCCCGTCCCGGGGAAAGCTTGTCCTGTCCCCGTGCCGCAGCGCTACGCACCCATCGTGTCCTCCGCATCGCAGCTTCCAGGGAGCCCTGACCGCTTCTGCGCCCACAGACCGAGCCCCTCTTCGTGTGGTTGTTTTAAAAAAAAAAAAAAAAAAAACAAAAACCCAAACCAAAAAAACCCCAGCAGCATCACAGGTTCCTCGTCTTCAGGACATTTGCTGGCTCTCTGGCGCTTTCTCCAGGATCTCCTCGTACTTGGGCGGAGGGGTCAGCGGCTCTATCGTGATAGGGGCGGTGCTGTTCCCCTCTGCGAGGTTCAGCCTGATGTCCTTCAGGTGCCTCCGTGCCGGGGGCTGCGCCGGCGGCTCCCGGCGGCTGGGAGCTTTCGTCGAGCCCCGTCAGCGATTCGTAGGAGGGCAGGGAGACGCTGATCCTGTGGCTCCTGTCCGAGTCTCTGGGCTCAGAGTAGCCCACGTTCATCACCTCCTCGTAGCTGGGGACATAGTACTGGGAAGACACATCTTCGTCCTCTTCTTGACTACAAGGGAACAAATTAGGACTATCGATAGCACATCATTTCAGCTTCACTGTGGGTAGGGGGTGGAGAGCCGAGAATAAAACCATAAGACCACCTCCCCACCCCCCCAAACCTTCACAACGTCTTTGCCCTTCTACATGATACACCGGTTCCTTTGCGTTTGACAGAACAAGCCACAGCCCCGCCTCTATTCAGGCACGTTTGGCTTTCCTTGCGGCATACGTCCCTCTCGGATCACCCCTTGCTTCCTTTGCCCACAGAACCTCTTGGTCTACTGCACAGCAGTGATTTCTTCCCCCAGCCAAACACCGATTTCTCTCCTCCCCTCTCGACGCTCAGTCAAAACACATTTGAAAGGGACATCACCCCTCTGCCTTTGCCACGCAGATGTCGTTCGGGTTGGGTATCTACCTTGAGTTTTTCCGCAAAGACGTTCCGCTCGGCAATCCTTTACCATCTATGCCACAGGTGCCTGCACACATATACTTGGCGTTTCTTTGGCGTGATGACGTTACCTTTACACTCTCATAGGGAAAACCAGTTTTCTGGGCCGATCTGCACACAGAGTGATTCCCTGCAGTCACCGACGGCAGCTCTCCCCCGCAGCGTTCCCGAGGCAGCAGCCAGCAGAGCCATCGTCTCCGCCTGCCCCCTCGCACCCCACCTCGTCCCAACGCCCCACTGCCTCTCTCCGCACAGGCACAGCCCGCACCGAGGACCGCGCCGATTCCCCAGGCCACCGAGACGGCCGAGGACTTCACCCGCGCCCTTGTGTTTGTTCAGACCGCGCCTGCTGCAGCAGCAGCCTTTGCTCTGCTCGTCGGAGTTCCCTGAGCAACCAGGAGAGCCCTGCAGACTTTCTCCGGGTCAAAACTCCATTTCCAGCCACTGCCTACGCTGCTGCAGCCGCCACCGAAAGGCTGCTCGGCACCTCCGGCTGCACCTGGTGAGATAGCCCGTCCTACCTCTCCTGCTCCTCGCCCGGCTTGCCTGGCTTGCAGCAACGATCCCCCCCCTTCTGCGTTAACCATTAACCACAGCTCCCAGCGTTACCTCTCAGCGTGCTGCTTGGGGACTGACCGAGCCAGGAGCGGCACGTCTCAGCAACGCCAGCTTGGCCACGGCTCCGTCTAGACCCCGGCTTACATGCAAACAACGCTTCCTTTCACCTACAGCACCACAAATACAGCCGGCATCGTTCCTTCCTGATCTCTAAAGGGTATTTGACCCCTGAACCGTGAGACGGGCTTGCCTTTATTTTAGCACATGCTGCTATCAGCCTTACTCTCTGTGCTCCTGACCTCCTCGAGGGAGAATAACGGCTTCTAGTGTCGTGCCTACGCTCGGTCCCGCTCCCTTTCTCCCCAAAAAGGCTCACCTGTCCTCCTGGTGCGAGGGCTCCGCAGAGGCTGGGTGCTGCACGCAAGCAATGTCTTCGCTTTGCCTCTTCTTGTCCCGGATATTCAAGCAGATGGAGAGCAGCAGCAGCAGCACGCCCGCTCCCACCAACACGTACGCCACCGAGAAGGTCTTGCTCTTCAAAATGCCTCCGGAGCCGTGGTCGGGCTTGCTGCTGTTCCCGGCGTGGGCGGCGGGTTTGTCGTCAGGGCTGAAGCCGGGGACGAGGTTCCAGACGGCCATGATGATGCCGAGGACGAGCATCCCCAGCCCGATCGCCGTCAGGGCGTAGTGCGAGCCGTTGGCCCGAGACTGGGCCATCGCTCCTGCTGCTGGCTGGCCGGCCGGGCTGCCCCCACCTTACAGCATGGCTCGCGTCGGGGCGGCTGCAGGCCTGCTAGCATGCGTGCGGTCCCCTCCCACGGCAGGCGGCAAGCTCTGCGAAGAGAAGGAAAGCGATGGTTAGTGCACGGCGGGATGCAAAGCCTGGGCAGCTACCGTTTCGGTGGCCACAGTAACATCGTTTTATTCCGCTAATGCTGGAAACCTAATTCCACCGCGCCTACGGAGAGCACGTCAGGACGCAACACGGCAGTCGGCAGCAGGACCGTAGCTGACCCTTTGCTACTTTCTCCGCTGTAATATCCAGCAACCTTAGGAAAGAACAGAATTACTAACGTTTGCTGCGGACTGAGATTAACCATCCTTGGGAGCCCGATAACTGACTGCTTCACGGCACCAAAAAAATTGCCCCCCCCCCAACTTCACTGCTTATAGAAACGCTCCCTGCTTTACGGAGCTCTGCTGCCTTAGACAAAGAGCCACTATCAATGCGAACCACCCTGAAACCGCTCAGACACAAATCTCTAGCGTACAACTTCTCTTTTCCCCCTGCTTCAGATGGAGCAGGGCTGCTTGCGGCGCTGGCTGCCTGCCCTACAATGCCTCCCTACCCGGAGAAGAGAAAGCAAAACTGCCGCTCTCCCAGCCAAGCCACCCCCGCGGCTTCCCCTGGCCGCTGCCGGCAAGGGCTGCTCCGACAGCGAGCCCTCGGCACAGCCCCGCGGGCCCAGTGCTCACCCACCCCGCAGCAACGCACGCTGACAGCGAGTCCCCTGCCTGCATCCCGCTGACAGCGGCGGGCTCGGGGCCGTCCGAGCCCTGCTGGTCCCGACCAGCAGGGCCACGGGTGGGAACTCCTCCTCCACCGCCTGGATTGAACGTCTGCGTTTCCTGAGTCGCCAGGACCTGATGTGCTCCCTTTCCAAAAATAAACACAGGGAACCACATCTCCTGGCCGCTCGCCCCCCTGACCTTGGGCTTGCAAAGACAGCGGCTGCGAGCACAACCCCTTCCTGCAAACCACGGGCGAGTCACTCCGATCCCTGCAGCAAAGCTCCCCCATCTCCACCCCAGCGAGCCTTGCAGCAGCCTCCCAGTTTTACGCGTGTGCCAACACCCACACGCAGCCCTGTGAACGTGCCCCGGTATTCTCCTTTCCTCCCCAGCCCTGGCTTCTCGACGCTTGTTTGCTCCATAAGTCGCCCCGGGCTATGCTGTGCTGCGTGCTGCCTCCGCGTATGCCCTCGCCCTTCAGCACGGCCGTCCAGTTCAATGGTCCCAAGCTTCACATTTGATTGTTTAGCTCAAGCGCGAACCTAGTTCACAGGGTCAAGGGCCTGAATAAACTGGCATTCCCAGAAAACAGACCAGCTCCAGCCGCTTACAGGATAAGACACGCACGCAAGCCCAGAAAGGAGAAAGCTGCAAAGCAACTTCCCCATCGCAGCCCACTCGCCGTCCGTCTGTGCCCCGGCGCCGCTTCGGAGGCTCACCGAGGGATGTCCCTGCCCCATTAGGCGCAGCCCCGGCCCCGCACGGGCGTTGTTGGCCTTCGTGCAGATCCGGGGAGGCCTGGCCGGGGTTACCGGGTGAACACAAGCTGCCAAGCCCTGCCCGACGGGAGCTGCCGGCAGGCAGGCAAGGGCAAGCCCTCCGTTCCCCACGGCACGGCTCAGCACCGAGCCCAGCCCTGCTGCCGTGCAGCACCGTCTGCCCCTTGGGAAGGCATCCTCTGCCCGCCTAACCTGCCCTCAGCTTTAATTCGGTCCTAGCAAGCAGCTGCTGAGGATGGGGCACATGCTACATCCCAAAGGTCCTCACCAGCGTCCCGAGAGCCACCACCACTCGGCAGCCCATCCTACCTGAGCGCTTCGGAGCCTGCGACTGCCAGTCCCAAGAGCGGCCTCTGCCCTCCTACACAAAGTCTTTGCTCTCTGCCTGCCTGCCAGCCCGTGCCCTGCCTGCCCCTGCCAGCGGGGCACAGCATGCGCTGCGGGGATCGACGCCTCTGTCGAGCGCTGTCTCCATCCCACGCTTCCCAAACAGCCCCCTCTGCTCCAGAGAGCACCTGCAAACTCCCCGCACGCTCGCCGTGCCGTGCAGGCTCAGAAAATCACGCACAAGGCAAATTGCATCACGCGTCCTCGTCCTTCGTCCACCCTCTGCTGCATCAGTCCCCGCTCCCGGCCGCGCCGGTGATGCCCGAGCCTGTGGCGAGGGCCACCGAGGCTCTGATTTATCTGCACCCCTGCTTCTCCGTTTGGGTCTTCCAAACTCATCCGTATGGGCGGCCGTTGGGTTTTTCCTGACATATTTATCCAAAGGGGCTCCCGTCTCCCTGCTATTTGGCAGCGTTTCACAAACAGACATCGGCCAGAAGAGATTTCACTTGCAAGCTGCTGTCACGGCTTTGGGGCAGGGAGATTGCGCTGCACGCATGGTGGGCACAGAAAACACGCGGGGCTGGTAACGTTTACACGTGGTGTCTAAACCTCCGTGCCCATTCCCCATCTCTCTGGCTTCCCTTGGGCACCCCACCCCTGGAAGCAGACCGGATTTCAGCTTCTCCATCATCTCTGCGCCTGAAAGTTTCACGCAGATCCCTCACTGTGCTGCCCTGCAGCCCAGGCAAATCAGCTTAAAGCAGGAGACTTGACCTACAAGTCTGTCTCTCCATTGAATTAGCTCTCCTTTTGGCTTTCCAGAGCGCGCTCCTATCGCTGCTTTAGCAAGAACCCCGGTGCCCCGACGTCGGGGGCCGGAGCAGGGAGCTGCTGCTGTCTCTGTCTCGGGTCCAGCATCCATAGCGCTGCCTGGAGCAGCGGGGGCAGCCCCGCCGAGACGGACACCGGGCAGCACGGTGAAAGGGTGCTGTACCGGGGAAGCCCCAAACCAACCACTGCCTGGCCCCAAACACCTTGCTCCGGTACTGCGTCGCCAAGGCGGCATCTGCTGCGGCCGTCCCGACCAGACCGGGTGGAGCAGCACACATACACACATCTGCCGTCCTGCCAGATCCACCAACGGAGAAATTCCCTGCTCTGTGGTTGCACTGTTTAATAATTTCTACTTTAATTTTTCCTCCACAATTTCCCCCAATTTGTTTACCAAAACTGCTCCAGAGCACTCTCCTACTGTGCAAAGCCCCAAGCACCCAGCCCGTACTCACCGCCCTTACACCATGTCAGGCAAGCCCGCTCTCTTCTTGCCCCCCCAGCTCACCGGTGCTGCGGAGCCGGGGCTCCCGTTGCCAACCTCACCGCTCCGTCAGGCAGGCGAGTGGCAGCCAAGCGCTCCAGCCCCCGCCTGCCCACGTCTTCTTCCCTCCACCCGCGGCACGGGGTCTTCCCTGCAGCCAGACCCACCTCCGTCCCACGCACGCCTGCGGCCCTGCGCTGTGCTGGCAATGATTTATACCAGGATCTCCGAATCATTAAACTGCACCGGCGCAGCTGCAAAGCCGGGAGTACCCACGCCTCCTCCAGGCTCGGCCGGGCTTCCCGCGCTTCTCACCGGCTCCCTGCAGGCTGCCAGAGCCAAGGGATGCTTTTTGTGACTTCTCTTGGGACGTTTCCGACTGTTACTTCGGCACGGGAGGACTCGGGGTAAGCCCCTTCTCAAGCACCACACGCCAACACGCCTGAACGCACCCCGAAGGCTTTTGGCACGGGCACGCAGGCGGGGCGGCAGCACATAGCATCTTCCCTCCGCGACAACGGTCCCGCCACGGGGACACAGACCCGCCGACGGAGTCAGCCCCGGATCGTGCTCCACGCCTCAGCCCTCCCGGGGAAACGCCAGCCCCGTCAGGGTGACTCACGAGGAAGCACGACACCCATCACTGCCCACGGCGGCACCCACGCTCCTCTGCCCTCCGCAACCTTTGGATTTTTCCCCTCCCATGACATCACCTCCCCGCTCACGCTCCAGCAGCAACACCTTTGTCACGGGATCACGAGAGATGAGTCTGCAGTTCGGGGAACGGGTCAAACCCCGACGCAGTCTCAGGGCACGGGACGAGCTCACTCGCGCTGAGCTCCAGGGCTTCCTCGCTCCCAAGGAGGAGCCGGAGCACGATGCGCAGCTCGCAGCGCGCCACCACGGAGCGACACGTCCCCTTGGAGCCTGCCTCCAAAAACCAGTGTGCGCCTCCAGCGCCAGCTGTAAAACACAAGACTCATTTTCTGGAAAATTTGGAGGGGAAAACAATCTTTTCTCCACACATCCAAGGAACTGAGGCCCCACTGCATGTTAGCTTACATCAGATGACCAGAGCCACAGCTCCCCCTCTTCCCAAGCTGCTCCCAGGGCAGGCGGCGGGAGGCGCCCGTTCCGCCCCCACCCCTTCCCCAGTCCCAGCCACGAGGTCCTCTGGCTCCTTTCAACAGCAAACCTCAACGCTGGCGATCGGTTGCTCATGCGCGGTCATTTCCAGAGAGCTTTACGCCGTCTGGAGGTGGGCCTTGAAGTCCTGGGGCTTCGGCCCCAGCCCTGGGTCGGGTGAGATGATCAGAGACGGGGGTAACACTGAGCCAGGCCGGGCTTCACCCCTCTGCCCGGCCCCGGCTCCAGGGGACAGACAGCCCCACATTAGCTCCTCCGCAGCAGCGCCAGCATGCGAGGCGTTACCTGCATCTTCATGCTTACACCCTGACAGCCTTCTCATTAACCTTCTTCCCTGCTCATCGGTGACCGCAGCGCGTCCTCACAAGCTCCTGCTCCGTAACCATTCCTGCAGCGGCAAGAACCTTGCATGGAGCCCTCGTTACACAAGGGCTCAACCCACCAGCAACGCCAAACCCCACGCGCAGTCAGAAAACCAACAGGTCGCGATCAGGACTCGGGCAATATTTGCTCTTTTTTTTGGCCCTTCTCGCTGCCCATGTTATACCTGCCCCCACAGCAGAGATGTTTCTGGCCAGATGCAGCTCAGGGGATGCGGGGAACTCCCCAGCCCCAGCGGGGAAGGCGGCGAGAGA